GCAGATTTCTCAACAGAAGCCCTATAGGCCAGGAAAGAATAGACACCGTTCAAGGTCTAAAAGAAAAACTCCTGCCAAACCAGAATACTTTACCCAACAAAGCTCTTGTTGATAAATGAAGGGAAATAAAGATCTTCCAAGAAAAGCAAAAACTGAAAGAATTTGTCAATACCAAGCTAGTCTTACAAATGATACTTAAGGATGCAGTATGTACAGAAACTGAGAAAGACAATAAGCAGCATAAAAGAATGTGAAGGCAGCAAACCTGCTAGTAAAAAAACACAGGAGTTTCAAAACAAACATTAAGAATATTTATGGAAAATGGCAAGACCAGGTCATTACTTATCAACAATAACCTTGAATGTAAATGTGAATTCTCTAATTAAAAGTTACTGACTGGTTGAATGGATAAACTGGTTAAATGGATAAACATCTATATGCTGCCTACAAGAAACACATTTCACCAATAAAAATATATACCGATTGAAAGTGAAAGGATGGAAAAAGATATTCCATGTAAATGGAAATCAAAAGAAAGCAAGAGTACCCATACTCATATCAGACAACATAGACTTTAAGATAAAAGCTGTTAAAAGAGACATAAAGTTCATTATATAATGATTAAGGGATCAATTCAACAAGATAGAACTATAGTAAATGTATATTAACCCAAAGCTAGGGTATCCAGTTTTGTTAAACAAATATTAAGGTATCTAATGGGAGAGCTAAGCTTCAATACAATAATAATGGGGGACTTCAACGCCTCACTTTCATCAATGGGCAGATCGCCCAGATAAAGTAACAACAGAGCTAGCCTGCATTGTAGAACAAATGGAACTAATAGATATTTACAGAACATTGCATCCAACAGCAGCAGAGTACATATTCTTTTCATTAATGCATGGAACATGCTCTAGGATAGACCATATGCTAGGCCATAAAACACATCTCAACAAATTTAGAAATTCCATTCCACGATGGAATGAAGCTTGTAATTAACAACAACAGAAATTCTATAAAACATACAACACATGGAGACTGAGCAACACACTCCTGAATGAACAGTGGGTCATAGAGTAAATTAAAAGATAAATCAATAACCCCTTTGAAATGAATGGAAATGAAAATAAAAACACAATTTATCAAAACTTATTGAACACAACAGTAAGTGCCTACATTGAAAAATTGGAAAAGTATCAAATAAATGATCTAACAATGCACCTGAAGGATGTGGAAAAATAAGAACAAACCCAAAGTTATAGAAGAAAATGAATAAATATAATAAATCAAATCAACAGAATGAACAAAACACATATGCTCATCATGATAGGTGCAAAGAAAGCTTTTGATAAGTTTCAATGTCTCTTCATTATAAAAGCTCTCAGCAAATAATTTATGTGAGAAACATACCTCAAAATTATGAAGAATATATGATGTACCAACAACCAATATCATATTTAACAAAGAAAAGCTGAAAGTAGTTTTTCCTTCTGATCTGGAATAAGACAAGGACGCTACTTTGACCACTTTTATTCAATATAATAGTGGAAGTATTAGCAAGAGAACCTAAATAAAGGGCACTGAAATTGAAAAAGAGGAGCCAAAATATCCATGTTCACAGGCGATATGATGCTGGACATGGAAAACCAATACTCTAGCAAAAAAGCTGTTAGAGCTGATAAACCATTTAATAAAGTTGCAGGATACAAAATCAACATACAAAAAATAGCATTTTTATATAGCAATAATAATTTTGTTGTAAGAGAAACCAAGAAAGAAATCCCATTCACAAATGCTACAAAAAAATCAAATATTTAAGAAAAAAGTTAACCAAAATGAAAGATCTCTACAATGAAAATTACAAAACATTGGTGAAAGAAATCATCAAGAACACAAAAAAACGTATTTCTTGGTTGTGGGTTGGGAGAATTAATATAATTAGAATGACTATACTAACTAAAGCAATCTATAGATTAAATATAATCCCTATAAAATATCAATGAATTATTTATAGAATTAGAAAAAATTCTAAAATATAAATGCATTCACAGAAGATCCAGAATAGGCAAAATGATCTACAGAAAAAAAAATCAAACTAGAGGCATTACAACACATGACTTCAAAGCAACTACAAAGCTATAGCAATTAAAACAGCATGGTGATGGCATAAAAACTGGCATATAGGTCAGTAGAACAGGATAGAGCTCCCAGAAATTAATCCACATACATACAGCCAGTTGACTTTTGACAAAGGTACCAAGAACATGCATTGGAGAAAGGGTAGTCTTTCAGTAAATTGTACTGGTAAAACTGGATAATATACATACACACATACATATGAATAAAATTAGAACCCTATATCTCAGTATAAACAACTCAAACCAAGACAGATCAAAGAGGGGCTGGCCTTGTGGCATAGAGGGTAAAGCTGCCGACTGTGATGCTGGCATCCCATATGTTTGCCAGCTCATGTCTGCTGCTCCACTTCCAATTTAACTCCCTTCTAATGGCCTGAGGGAAGCAGCATAACATGGCCCAAGCCACCCATGAAGGAGATCCAGAAGAAACTTCTGGCTCCTAGCTTCCACCTGGCCTGGTTTTGGCTATTATGGCCATTTGGGGAGTGAACTAGCAGATGAAAGATCTCCCTCTGTGTTTCTCCCTCTCTCTCTGTGACTGTGACTTCAAATAAATAAATGCATTAAAAAAAGATGGATCAAAGATCTAGATGTTTGATGAGAAACTATGAAATTGTTACAAGAATACATAGGAGAAATACTTCAAGACATTGATGTAGGTGATAATTTCTTGAATAGGACTCCAAAAAGCAAGTGCAATGATAGCAAAAACTAGACAAGTGGAATTATATCAAACTTAGAAGCTTCTGTGCAGTAAAGAAAGCAATCAATATTGTGAAGAGACACCTGACAGAATGGGAGGAAATATTTGCAAGCTACCTATCTGACAAAGGATTAATATCTAGGATATATCAGCAACTCAAAAAACAACAAAAATCAATCCCATTGAAAATTGGGCAAAGGGTCTGAATAGCCTCTCCTCAAAAAATGAAATGCAAACGGCCAATAAACATGAAGAAATGCTCAACATCACTAGCCATCAGGGAAATGCACATCAAAGCAAAAACCAGATGTCACTTCACCCTTGTGAGAACGGCTATCACTCAGTACAGAGAGCAGCAAGTTTTTGTGAGGATGTGACAGAAGGGGAACTCTTATTCACTGTTGGTAGGAATTTAAATTAGTGAAGCCACTGTGGAAAATAATATGGAGCTTTCTTAAAGCCTAGAATTGGAACTTCCTTATGACTTGGCAATGCAACTACTGTGTATGTACCCCAAATCATGAACTCATTGTATTAGAGATATCTGCTCCACCATGTTGTGGCAGCACTGTTCACAATAGCGGAAATATGGGATCAACCAATGCATTCATCATCAAATGAATAGATAAAGAAAATGTGATATATATATATATATATAGTATGTATATACACACACATACAATGGAATACTATTCACTTACACAAAACAATGATATCCTATCATTTTGCAGCAAAATGGATGGACCTGGAAGACTTCGTGTTTAGTGAAATAAGCTAGACACTGAAAGACAAATACCACGTGTTCTCTTTTACATGTGAGAGCTAATTAAAACAACAATAATTCTATCTAAACACAGAATTACCAGAGGCTTGGAGGGGTAGGAGTGATTAAAGATTTTTGAATTGGGGCTGGTGTTGTGGAGTAGCAGGTTAAGCCTCTGTCTGCAAGACCAGCATCCTGTATGGACACTGATTCATGACCCAGTTGCTCCACTTTAAGTCCAGCTCCTTGCTAATGTGCCTGGGAAAGCAGAGGAAGATGGCCCAAGTCCTAGAGCCCCTGCACCTACATGGGAGATCTGGAAGAAGCTCCAGGCTCCCAGTGTTGGCCTAGCCTGTAATTGTGGCCTTTTGGGGATGAACCAGGGGATGGAAGATCATTCTCCCTCTGTATCTCCTCCTCTCTCTGTAACTCTTCCTTTCATATAAATAAAAAATAAGCCTTGGGCCGGCGCCGCGGCTCACTAGGCTAATCCTCCGCCTAGCGGCGCTGGCACACCGGGTTCTAGTCCCAGTCGGGGCGCCGGATTCTGTCCCGGTTGCCCCTCTTCCAGGCCAGCTCTCTGCTGTGGCCCGGGAGTGCAGTGGAGGATGGCCCAGGTGCTTGGGCCCTGCACCCCATGGGAGACCAGGAAAAGCACCTGGCTCCTGGCTCCTGCCATCGGATCAGCGCGGTGCGCCGGCCGCGGCGGCCATTGGAGGGTGAACCAACGGCAAAGGAAGACCTTTCTCTCTGTCTCTCTCTCACTGTCCACTCTGCCTGTCAAAAAAAAAAAATAAGCCTTAAAATGATTTTTGGATTAAAAAAATTAAGAGAAGCTGGATGTGCTTCAATAATTGTGACAAATATACTAACATGAGATGTTAATATGGATAAATAGAGTAGGGGGTATTTGGGAATCCATTGTATTGCTACCTCGCAATTTTTGTTTGGAGAATTTAAACTTATCCAGAAAAAAAGTATTTTAAAAATCTCCTGGCAGCCTGAGAATCATCAGGTTTTAGATCAAACATCAAAACTGGCTGGATTTCTCATTCAGACTCTGGTCTCCAACTTTCTTGACAGGAAATGATCATTGACCATCCTCAATGACTGTGAATTGACAGAACATAGTTTTTCCACCCGCATTGGATGCCTCATGGAATTGGGAGCTAACACTCTTATGGCATTAAAGCAAAGGCCGTGATTGAGAAAGGGAGTTAGACACCTTCAAGTTTTTTTGGATTTTCCTAATTCCTCTTCCGGAAGCTTTCCCCATTGGTGTATGTGGTCAGCAGCAACCCTGAGGTTGACCACTGCTAGACATCTTGTCAGCAGCTTTGCCCAGTTCTCAGGGACGATCCAGGTAGTGATAGTTCTTTTTTGTTCTTGTTGACAGGGCCTTCCTGAGACTGGTCCCGTTGCCAGTCTGGATTCCTATGTAGAGGCAGCTCTACCAAAATCTCCAAGTGCTGAGTGTCAACTCCTTCAGCAATGCAACAGTTCTTCATTTCTCTTCCTAGCAACACCCCATGTTCCAGTTCCTACTGAACCTAGCTGTGGGCTTCAGCTGCCTGGCAAGTCACTGAATTACTGAGAAGTCACATGAACAACTATCCACATAAAATATATCTATAAACTGAATATGTAATATTAACAGTCACTGTGCTATGGCTTCCACTGTATGGCAAACCTTTTGCCTACATTATATCATTAATCCTCACAAAAGTGCTATGGGGTTGATAAATGATCACTTCCATTTTATAAGTGAGGAAACAACTGCAGAGAGGGTAAGCAAATTGCTCAAGATCATGAAGCTAGCAAATGAATAAGCTGGTCTGCAAATCCAGGTCATTTAATCCCAAAGTACCAAAATCCTCTACTTATTCACAGCATTAGTATGTCTTTCTTGTTTGTATTGCTTTTTAAGTAAATTCTTATGTGTTTTGAGTTAAAAGTTATACACTTTAAAATATCATATAGTTTATAGTAAATTTTGTCTTTTTACTATTTTTTTACCCTGGAAGTACCTTAACAATCGCAGACTTGATGTGATAGAATATTTTTAACAGCTCTTTAACAATCTTGCTCAAAACCTTTTAAAAATAGAACAGAGAAAAATGACTTTATAAGTCAATGTACATCTTACTTGTAATAGTTCTGTAGCACCATTCTGCTATACCTTAGAAAAGACCCCATCCCTGATTGTCCTTCTAAAAAGTGAGTAATAATCCATTTTATATTTCAAACCAAGCTAATTTGTCATAAAGCCTATTGCATAGGCTTTGTCCAGGAACTTTCTGCATTGGATAATTCTTTCCAAAATGCTTGCCTTTGGCCCTCATTTTACTGAAGCTTATTTCTCAACTCTTTCCTTAACAAGATTTGAAATGTAGTTACGCTTGAGAGTTTTTATGTCTGAAAATGAATTTGATTCTTCCTCTTGCTCAATCATTTGATTGGGTATTATGTATTGTTTTTCTAATATGTAGCAACTATGCAAAGAAATCTGATCTCAAATTGAACTCTATTTCTTATGTTTTCTCTTTCAAAATTGTAACTGTTTTTCATTATCTTTGTAATTTTTATTTTTATGATAATGTGATGTAGTAAAATATGTTTTCATTTAGCATGCAGAAAAAATAAACAATGACACAACTCAAGAATTTGAACTACACTAAAATAGTCAATTCTTATCCAACAAATGGAAATTTTTTAAAAAGTGAAATTAGGTTATCTGACTGGCTATTCATTTGTTTTTTTTTTTTTTCAGCCTTCCAAATGTATTGGCTTCTATCAGGCATTGAGTTAGGAACTAGAAATACAGTCATCGAGACAAAAAGGGTGTTTATCAACTGCAAGAAAATGTGTCACCGAATAATTACTTCACCTGCTAAAACCCTTTCATTCTTTAACATTTGTATCCTAGAGACCTTCACCCAAAAGCAAAAATTAGACATATAGGTCAATTAGAATTTCACTCTAGGCCGGTGCCATGGCTCAATAGGCTAATCCTCCACCTCCAGCGCCGGCACCCCAGGTTCTAGTCCCTGTTGGGGCGCCGGGTTCTGTCCCGGTTGCCCCTCTTCCAGTCCAGCTCTCTGCTATGGCCCGGGAGTGCAGTGGAGGATGGCCCAAGTCCTTGGCCCCTGCACCCCATGGGAGACCAGGAGAAGCACCTGGCTCCTGGCTTCGGATCAGTGCAGTGCGCCGGCTGCAGCGCGCTGGCCGCAGCGGCCTTTGTGGGGAGAACCAACGGAAAAAGGAAGACCTTTCTCTCTGTCTCTCTCTCTCACTGTCCACTCTGCCTGTCAAAAAAAAAAAAAAAAAGAATTTCACTCTAAAGAATCATCTGGTCCCACCTGGTCTGTTCCCCATCCCTCTGTAAATTCACTGTCTGTGAGCTACTCTGCAGGGATCTCAAATGCATGGCTGCTAACTGTATCCTTAAGTTTAGCATTTTACCATAGAGCTCTGCGTGGGCACAAAGTGAGGGCTACAAAATGCTTTCAGTTCTTCTTTTGCTTTTAAAGAAAAACTATGGCTAATAGAATTTTTGAAATCCTATTTTAAACCTTTAGGATAGAATCGAAGCTATGTTAGGAACAATTTAAAGAGCTTTCAGCAATCTGGGGATCCTCATCGTGACAGCCTTGTTGCCATCCCCAGTGATAAGGTCCACATCTAAACCAGGGGTTTAGTCCCTGCTTCCGTTCCTGCGTGCTTCCTTTCCCTGTCTGCATTACTTTTCCTAGCACCTTGCAATACTGAAGCCCTGCTACCTGCTTGCTGGCAGACTTGTCTGGTGCCATCTACTCAAGCCACCCATCCTGGAACTTCCTTACCCAGGCTCTGCCTACCTGATTATGTGGTCATGAACATAGTCAGTCCTCTGTTTGTCTTAACTTTGACCTGAATGTTGTACTGCCCAAGGATAACCATTTTTGATTCATTCAACAAATATTTATTGAGTATCAAGCATTGTTTTAGACATGGAAGTTGAATAGTGGACCAAATATATAAACACAGAAAATAATATTTGCTGTTGTTTTGTCGCTTGTTGTGGTTTGAACAGGATTTAGTTCCCCAAATTCATGCAGATATTTAAAGTCCAAAGTTTTATTACTTAGTGAAAAAAAAGATATTCAACAGTTAACAGAGATGGATTAAGGATGTAGATATGATCTAATTATGGTGTTTGGGAGCTGAGCATAGGGGATGATCTTTAGGTCTTTCAGGGCTTGGTTTTGGAAGAGAGCTCTCATGAGAGGGTAGATTATAGAAGAAGAGCATGTTCTCTGTGTCTTTATGCTTCTAGCTTGCCATGTGACTGTCATTCCACCAGCCTCCAGCTTCACCAGTTGTATGAAGCAACGGGGCCACTTAATCTTAGACTGTGAACCTCCAAACTATAAGCCAAAATAAACCTTCCTTCCTAAGAAGCTCTTATTAGATGTTTTAGTTAAAGTAATGAAAAGGTGACTAATACAGAGCTTCACATTCTAATATGTAGATTTCAAGTCCTGGTGAACTACGTCATCCCTTTATCCACCATTGCTGAATACTTTTTCCTCTAAGTAAAAATTCTATATAGTCTGCCATCCCTTTGAAGTGAATGGAACCCTCCTCTTAGACGATAAAGAGTGTTAAATGAGAAAAGGAAACACAACCAACAGCAAGTACACGAGGGTACTTAGAGATCAACTTAAGGTAAGATTTGGAAAAATTCAAGGAACAATGAATAACTTTCAAAGTTTATTGTAAAAAGATGAACCATGGGGCTGGCTTTGTGGCACAGTGGGTTAAGCTGCCACTTGCAGTGCCAACATCCCATATGGGTGCCAGTTCAAGTCCCAGAGGCTAGGTTTCTGATCCAGCTCTCTGCTAATGCTCCTGGGAAAGTAGTGAAGGATGGCCCAAGTGCTCGAGGCCCTGTCCCCAAGTGTGGGCCACCCCGAGGAAACTCTTGGCTCCTGGCTTGGGCCTGCACAGCCCCCACCATTGCTGTAATTTGGAGAGTGAGCCAGTGGATAGAAGACCTCTCTCTCCCTGTCTCTCCCTCCTTCTCTCTGTAACTCTTTCAAATAAGTAATAAAATAAATCTTAAAACAAAAAAATTGGGGTTCCAAGATTGTGGAATAACCACAGGGCAGTCTGATTTAGGCTAAGTGAAATTCATATAAAAAAGTGGAGTTTGTACACTCTCAGGGTAAAGCCACAGGGGAAACTGCAGTGAGAGATCCTGTGAAAGCAGTAGAAATGACCCAGACCTGTGCAGAAAGTGCAGACATGAAGCAAGGTGCAATGAAGCAACAAGCAACAAAGGAGCCAGTAGCTTGGATCTGGGGAAAAGAAGCCTGCGCTGGCACACCAGGTGAGATATGACTGCACAGGCCCATGCCGCTGTTGATACAACTGGAGGGAGAGCTTAGTGAACTGCATCTTTTGGAGTCCTGCCTGGATCCTTCATGGCAGTGGGACGATTGCTCACCCGGGTGCATGGGGGAGCAGTGCATCTCTCTCTCTCTCTCCCCTCTTCCCCCCTATAAGAGTGACCTGCAACTTGTGGTGGGAGGGGTGGCACCATTATTTGAACATCAGCAGGCAGCAGCTGCTCTAGCTCTTGTGCATGCACCCAGCAATTATCAGGGGCACCCTCTACCCAGTCAGCAGGGGCAACCATAGCAGTTAAAAAGCAACTGATGGGAAGGTCTCCATCATGCCAACTGCACCGACGCAGCAATAGGTGGAGAGGGGGAGCCATCCCTACAGCAGGGAAGTGCCGCCTGCGGGACTCTCCCACACACCCAGCACAACTGTAAAATGAGCTGGGCTGCAGGTGGGTATTGTGCATGCCTATGATCCAGAGATCTTACTAGAGAGAAAAACCCATATCCCCACTGGCATCGAATCTGGTTGGGAGGACCGGACTCAATCTAGTGGGCTGGAACACATATGGACAGCAGCCCTGGGAACACCTCAGTACCCATGTAGTCAGGATGGGCTGGCAGGGAACAGTGGCCCTACTTGTACTCCTTGATCCTGAGAGCCCTGGGAGCTGAGACTGAGAAAACACTGTGACTGCATGAGAGGAGGCAGGGTGTAGCTGGGTTCCGGGCAATCACAGAGGGCTGCTACACACTCTCAGAGCTCCTTGGTTGCCTAGAGCAGCTCATAGCAGAGTGAACCGTGCTCACAGGAAGGACTATGCAGATATATGTGGTTCATACAGCAGTGTGGATGAGGGTTGAACACACCAGGAACTAACACTTGGGCCGTCCTCAGCTTGAAGGAGAAGGGGTGGTCACACCAATAGAGGTGACCATTCCTCTCCATCTAGTTAACCAGAGGAGGGCTACCATGCTTAACTTGGGTGTGACCCTGGATACTTTCCCCATCTTGGAGCACTGACCAGAGCTCCCTGGCCACACCCACCACATACCTCTTGGGATTCACTGAAAGTGTAGACATATCACTAAGCCACAGAAGGCATAGCTCAAAGATAAAAGCCATCAGAGAAAAAAAAATTCTAAAACGTCTAAAAATAAAAGAATAAAAAAATAAAAGAATAAGGAAGACACTATGACTCCTCCCAAGGAACACAACAACCTTTCAATATTAGAATGTGAAGATAAAGAGATTGAGGAAATGCCTGAAATGGAATTCAAAAAATTAATCATAAGATCATTCAAAAGCAATCAGAGGCTGGCACCGCAGTTCACTAGGCTAATCCTCTGCCTGTGGTGCCTGCACCCCACGTTCTAGTCCTGGTTGGGGCGCCAGATTCTGTCCTGTTGCTCCTCTTCCAGTCTAGCTCTCTGCTGTGACCCAGGAGTGCAGTGGAGGATGGCCCAAGTGCGTGGGCCCTGTACCCGCATGGGAGACCAGGAGGAAGCACCTGGCTCCTGGCTTCAGATAGGCACAGCACACCGGCTGCAGTACACTGGCCGTAGCGACCATTTAGGGGTGAGCCAACACAAGGAAACCTTTCTCTATGTCTCTCTCTCTCACTGTCTAACTCTGCCTGTCCAAAAAAAAAAAAAAAAAAAAAAGCAATCAGAAGCAAATCCACAAACTAAGGAAACCATATATGATATGAATGAAAAAAATTTTCCCATGAAATTGAGATTTTAAAAAGAAATCAAAATGAAATATTAAAAATGAAGAATTCAAAAGATCAAATTAAAAAATGAAGTGGAAAGCCTTAACAGAGTTGGTGAGGCAGAAGAAAGACTATCTAAGCTAGAAGATAAATTTCTGGAAATTTTACAGTCAAACAAAACAAAAGAAGAAGAAGAAATTAGAAACTTAGAAACAGTGTTAGAGATCTATGGGTTAGTATCAAATGACCCAACATACAAGTCTCAGGAGTGCATGAAGGCATGTAAAAAGGGAATGGACTAAAAGACATATTTAGTGAAATAATTATAGAAAACTTCCCTAATTTGGAGAAGGAAAGGAATGTCTAAGTATGGGAAGCACATAGGACTCCTAACAGACATGACCAGATCGTCACCAAGACACATTGTAGTGAAACTTGCCACAGTAAAGCATAAAGAAAAGATTCTAAACTGTGCACTAGAGAAATGCTAGATTCATTTCAGGGGATCTCCAATTAGAACCACAGCTGATTTCTTAATAGAAACCCCACAGGCTAGAAGACAATGGCAAGATATAGTCCAAATCTTAAGAGAAAAAACTGTCAACCCAGAATATTGTACCCTGCAAAGCTCTCATTTATGAATGAAGACCTTCTATAACAAACAGAAATTGAAAAAATTTGTCACCACACATCCAGCCTTACAAAAAATGCTAAAGGTTGTGCTACAGACAGAAACACAGAAAGAAATCCATCATAATGAAAGAATGAGAAAGCAGAAAATCCCCCAATAAAAGTACAAAATAAATCCAAAGTAAATGATAGGAATATTTATGGAAAAATGACAAGGCAGAGTAGTTACTTATTAATAGTTACCTTGAATGTAAACAGCCTCAACTCTCAGTTAAAAGATGCAGATTGGCCTAATAGAATAAAAAACAAGACCCATCTATTTGCTGCCTACAAGAAACACAGCACCTCACCAACAAAGATACACATAGACTGAAAGTGAAAGGATGGAAAAAGATATTTCATGCTAACAGAAAGAAAAGAATGGTAGGGGTAGCCATCCTAATCTCAAACAAAATAGACTTTAATACAAAAACTGTTAAAAGAACCAGAGATGGATACTATGTAACAATTAAGAGACAATACAACAGGAAAATGTGACTATAATAAATGTATATGCATCCAATTACAGGGCACCTGGCTATTTAAAAGAACTGTTAACAGATCTGAAGGGAGGCATAGACTCCAATATAAAAGTTACAGGGGACTTTAACCCCACTTTCATCAATGTATAGATCAACCAGACAGAAAATCAACAAAGAAACAACAGAGCTAATCAAAACTAAGAACCAAATGGACCTAACTTGTATCGATGGAACTTTTCATGCCACAGTTGCAGTGGCATGGAACTTGGCAGTACAGGGAACTTTCTCTAGGATAGAGCACATAGTAGGCCATAAAGCAAGTCTCAGCAAATGCAAAAAAAAAAAATCAAAATCATATCATGCACCTTCACTGGTCACCATGGATTGAAGTTTGAAACCAACAAAGCAGGAATCTCAAGAACACATGCAAACATATGGAGACTGAACAACATGGTCCTCAATGAACAGTGGGTCATAGAAGAAATCAAAAAAGAAATCCAACAATTTCTGGAAATAAATTAAGATGACAATATGTCATATCAAACTTATGGGATACAGCAAAAGCAGTGTTAAGAGGGAAGTTTATAGCAATTAGTGCCTACATCAAGAAACTGGAAAGTCACAAATTCTGGTGAGGATGTGGGGAGAAGGGTACCTTAATCTACTGTTGTTAGGAATGTAAACTGGTACAGCCACAGTAGAAGAAAGTATGGAGATATCTCAGAAAGCTTAATATAGACCTACCATATGACCCAGCCATCCAACTCCTGGGAGTTTATCCAAAGGAAGTGAGATCAGCATATAAAATAGTGATCTGTACCCCCATGCTCATTTCAGCTCAATTTACAATAGCTAAGATATGGAATCAACCCAGATGTCCATCAACTGGAGACAGGATAAAGAAATTATGATGTATTTATAAAGAATGAAATACTATAAAGCAGTTTAAAAAATTAAATCCTGTCATTTGCAACAAAATAGATACAATTGGAAACCATTACACTTAGTGAAATAAGCCAGTCACAAAAAGACAAATAACATATGGTCTCTCTGGTCTGTGGTAACTAATAGAGTACTTAAAATGTAATTTATAGGAGTGAAACTAATACTTTGAGATTCAATGGTTTTGAATAGCCCTTGCCTTGACTGCAGAGGAACAATGTTTTTCTTTTTTTTTTCTTTAAAGATTTATTTTATTTATTTGAAATACAGAGTTATAGAGAGAGGTAGAAACAGAGAGAGTCTTCCAACTGCTGGTTCATTCCCCAGATGGCCACAACGGCCAAAGCTGCGCTGATCCAAAGCCAGGAATCAGGAGCTTCTTCTGGGTCTCCCACGTGGGTGCAGGGGCCCAAGGACTTGGGCCATCTTTTACTGCTTTCCCAGGCCATAGCAGAGAGCTGGATTGGAAGAGGAGCAGCCAGGACTAGAACTGGCACCCATATGGATGCCAGCACTTTGGATCACGGCTTTAACCTGTTGTGCCATGGTGCCGGCCCCACAATGTTTCTCTTAGTTGTTTATTTTTGTTCTTTTCTTTTTTTTTTTTTTCTTCATACTATTTGGTGAATTCTCTGATTAGTGTAGGTTTAATCCTAAGAGTATAAAATTAACTGAAAATTGATCTCTGTAAAAAATAAGAATGGGAAAAGAAGAGGGAGGAAGAAGAAAGAAGGGAGTGAAGTGGAGGGGAAGAGTCATCATGTTCCCAAGTTTGTATATATTAAATGCATGAAGTTGTATTCCTTAAGCAAAATAAAAAAAACTAACAAAACTAAACAAAAAAAACTTAATTCACAATGTTGTAAGAACTAGAGAGTGTGTTTTTTAAAGCATGTAAGTTCTAAGTATTAAATGCTAGTTATCACTATCATTTCAATTATAATATATAGATGTGTTTCTATTCCATATACTTACTCCTAAAATACTGTAAGACTTGGAAATAAAATAAAAATTATACTTTAAGACTTGGAAAAAAAATAAATAAATAAGATGAACCACCAGCAGGTATTGGGTAGAATCATGTGAGGCATGATCTGCTGTTGCAAGATTATTTTGGAAAAACTAAGCTATTAACCTCAGTTTTATTTAGGTCTTATTGGGGAGCAGAGTACAGAGAGCAGAGAGAGAGGAGAGACTCATTACCAAGAAAAAGAGAAGCCGAAGTGGGAGAACCTAATTACTCTAATTTCTCAGCTCTGAGAAATTGCATCTCAATTTGAGAAATGTTCAAATTTTGCTGTGTATCTAATCTATAAAGGATGTACCATTAATCTGTAAAGAATGATGAAAGTGCCAATAAATTGGGCATGGTTAAGCATCTATTTTCAAGTGGAGGAAGAGAATTTGCTTAGTAGACACCAGTTACTTTAGGTTGGGTTTTTTAGTAATGCAAACTATTAATAGATAAGACCTATAGACTTGTTTCTTCAGAGACATACACATGGCCTCAGAGTGCTGGCCTTAGACATGAAGTTTGAGGAGCTGGCAAATCCCACTTTGGGCACGAATCTTTTTCAGTTGCTCCAGGTCTTCACAGAGGCTACTGTGCAGACATTGACCAGGACTGGGCTCTGATTTCTATCATCTCTGAGAACCAATCTTGCATTTATTTTGACCTGGATTTAGCATGATCATCATTACATGGATAGCCTGATTGTGGGTGAATGCTCTAACCTCTTGGTGAGGTCAACATCTATTTTCTTCAATACTACACGAGCATATCTTCACTCTACACCCTTATGGCAACGATGGTAAAGACAACTGTCCATCATTTATCCATGTTGGTATTAAGTATTTCAAAATGTGCTGGAATTTATTAGGAATTATTAGAGATATGACAGCAGTATATAGGTCTCCTATGAAAGAGAGATGTTGATTTTTTTTTCTATTAGACAGAGAGAAAGAGCTTCCATGTGCTGGTTCATACCCCAAAAGCAGGCAACAACGAAGGCATAATGGGCCAAACTTAGGAGCCAGGAACTCAATCCAGGTCCCCCAGTTGAGTGGGTGAGGCCCAATTGCCTGAACAACCATTACTGCCTCCCAGGGTATGTTTTGGCAGGCAACCAGAGTCAGGAGCTGTAATCAACGATGAAACCTAAGCAGCACAACACAGGAAGTAGTTTTAGCCACCAGGCTAAAAGCCTACCCATGCATTTTTAAAAAGCCTGTTTAGAAACTTGTAGATCAGGAGTGGGCAAACTATGGCCCCCTATCCAAAAGTAGCTCATTGTTTATTTTTGTAAATAAAGTCAATTTTGAAAATAATGTTTGAATACAGTGAGGCTGTGTATTATGTATCAATAACCTCTTATGTATCAGTGATATCTGCTTTCAAACTACAATAGCAGCGTTGAGAAGTTGGCCATATGGCCTGCAAAGTCTAAATATTTACTATATGTGCCTTTATTGAAAAACTCTGATTATAGGTGAAGAAGCACTGGACACTAGGAGTTGAGTTTAATAACAACAGTTATTTACAATGAAACAATAATTTTTGAAGGAAGCTTTCTACATAGATCAGATTTTTTTTCATACTGAGCATTTAGTCTTCACTAAAAATTCAACCACTATTTCTTGAATATTTACCATATGCCAATCTTTAAGAAAATTAGGATGAAAAATTTTCTGTTAGAGGAGACTCAAACATAATGAAATAATTTTAAAGAAGTAGTAGTTGCTAGGAGAATATTCTAGAATGGTGCCAAAGCTATGAGTGGGGGAGGCAGTTTACCAACATACAAGGTGCAAGTTGAGTTCTGAATAATAAGAACTTGCCCTACTTATGAAACAAGGTATTT